CGTTTGCGCAGCTGGCCAAACAGGCGCAGCTAGCTTGATTGTGAGAGGCAATCATTCGCGATTCGACAAAGTGCTATTCGTTTGGAGCACTAACTTCGCTGCTGGTGGCATCATGATTGGATGCTTTACCGTTTTTCATTGTGGGTGTTCGGTGTCGGGTGATTCTTGCTCATTGGTAAGCACAGGTTCGTATCAAAGTGATGCAAGCGTGCAATGCAAATGGCAAGCGTTCAAGCTGCGCCGTAAAGTGCCGTTGTATATATCCTCGTTGGATCGTTGGGCGGCTAGCTAGACAAGGTTAGCTAGACAATCTGCCTACACCAGCCTATTTGCAGCGTTGCAGCCTCTACTACGCGATGCAAAGAGAGCGGGTGCAAGCGTACGCACTCCAATAGGCACTTCAGCTCCTCCCATTGACTCGTCGGTGTCGTGGTGCATTTCGGGCGCTGCTGTCGACGCCAAGTGCGTTCTGCTACCATGGCATCGAAGCTTGCCACCGATATATCATGCTCAATACGTTGCGCTTGTGTTCTTCTCCGTGCAAAGCCATGGTCCGTAGCCTTTGAAGCAAGTGGACTCAGATGCACGCGGCGGTTTCGCCGTTTCCTCCGGCTCTCGCGGTGACATGCATGACATACAAACATCAAGTTAAAGGACCAATCACAACCATCTGTTCTCGGGGTGCCCAGATGCGACCAACGGTTTGAGATCGCTAGACACGACGCGACACTAGATTTCGATTCTCGTCGCCATGCGTCCATCGTACCACGAAGTCAAGTCGCCGGTCGCACTCAGCACGGATGTGCCGACGCTGCACCCGTCCGAGACGGCGTCGTGGACAGCCCGAGTGACGCTGTCGTGGTTGAGTCATCTCTTGCGCCGCGGCGCCAAGACGCCGCTCCAAGAAGACGACGTGTGGCCTGTTCGACGCGCCGACTCGGCGGCAGCACTCGCAGCACGCTTCCAAATGCAGTGGCGCGCCGAGCGCCAAATGCCACAGCCTTCCTTTGCCAGTGCGCTTCTGCGCACGCTTCGCTGGGAGTTCATCTCGGCCGTGAGCCTCTACTTTGCCTCGACGTTTCTCTCGTTATCGCAGCCCATCTTGATCAAGTCGATCTTGCAAGTCCTCACGGGCAAGACGTCGGCCGTTGGTATCGCATCGGGCTACGTGCTCGCTGTCCTACTCACGCTCGCAACGCTCGTCTCCGTCACGGCGATCGACTATGGCCAGTCGTGGATGACGTCCATCGGCGCAAACGCGCGGTCGATCGGAATGGATGCAGTCTTTACCCACAGCCTCGCACAGTCGTCGGCGCGGGTTGCCTCGTCGGGCGACGTCGTCACGCTCGCGTCCGTTGACGCCGAGCGGCTCTACCTCGGGTACCTCTTTGTTGCGTGGACACTGACTGTGCCCGTGACGCTCGTCTGCATATTTGTGCTGCTCGGTACGGAGCTCGGCGTGTGGCCCGCACTCGCTGGCGGTGTCGCGATGTTAAGCATGCTCTACCTTGGGTACGCGTCGGCGACGTCGGTTGGTCAGGTCCGCGCGCAGCTCCTTTCGACGCAAGCGCAGCGTCTCAAGCTCACGAGCGAGGCGCTGGCCGGCGCCCGCGCGCTCAAACTAAACAGTTGGGAGTGCCATCTCGAGGACGCGATCACTCGCACGCGCGCCATGGAGCTGACGTACTTGCAGACCTACCAGAATCGCCGCATCCTCAACATGGTCGTGCTCTCCGTCGCGCCGGTCTTGTCGCTCGCGCTCTGTCTTGGCGTCTACGTGGCCCAAGGCAATACTCTGTATGCGGCGAAAGCATTCGTAGCGCTTGCCTATATCAACAACGCGCGCCATCCGTGCACGGTCTTTGCAAATGCCGTCGTCTCGGTCGCTGAGGCCAAGGTGTCGGCGAAGCGCATTGGCGATTTTTTGCTGCAGGACGAACTTCCGTCATTAATGCCACCGTCAACCGCGCCAACTCCACCGGCATGCACGGTCAAGATCGCAGATGGCGACTTTGGCTGGTCGTCGCCGGAAGACGATGCTACCTTGACGCTGTCCAACATCAACCTCCACCTCGCCCCTGCCTCGCTCACGATCGTGGTCGGCGCTGTTGGCAGCGGCAAGTCCAGCCTCGTCTCGGCCCTCCTCGGCGAGATCCACCAAGTGCGCGGCACCCGCCACGTCAGCGGCAACGTCGCGTACGTCAGTCAAGAGCCGTGGATCCAGCACGACACGCTGCGCAACAACATCCTCTTTGCCGACGCCTTG